GATCCCCAGGGCGTCCGTCCGCGCCCTAATGTTAGGAAGCACTACAGGGTGCCTGCTGGAGAGAGCCACGTAGCTGGAAAGTCGCCCGTGTGTAGCACCGCGAGACAGCGAGTCGAAAGAGGCACCTTCAGGAACTTTGAATTCTAACAGCGGGTCACGCGGCTGTGCTGCCCTGTCCTTCACAGCGCCCGCAGTGACAGCACGTTTCCTGTTGGCCTTGGCCCAGCCCTTCTTGGCCACATGTCTATAGAATACAACTGGACCTAATGCCAGTCTCTGATTTGGGGCTCAACAGATGAAATCCTTGATCTTTCTCCAGAGATAGATACAGGGGTCAGGAAAATATAAATTAAAATGGCACCGTTAGTACTGATTAAAGCCATTTGGAGAATATGTTGAGAGCCAGACAGGAATGAACCGAATTCCCCCGAAACGCAAGGAGAGGCTTCTCTACTAAACTCGTCACACGCCTGGGAGTGGGAAGAGCATCGGCCATAGGCAGCTGGGGCCCAGGGAGAGAAGGGAGCCAGGGCCCAGCGCCCGTGCCCAGGGTCTGCTTGGAAACTCACGCAGGGAGGAACAAGCAGGTGGGTGGGCGAGTGGGTGGGTGGGGGGCCAGGAGGGCCACGCCCTGGGGATCCCGCCTCGTGGGAACGTGGCGGGTGGCTTCTGCCCACCGTCTGCTTCAAAGGAGTTTTACGCCAGGCTCAGCTGGTTTCTAGACATCACTGGTTTTTTGTTCTGCACTCGAATGGGGTAGGCGATGTCCTGGGCTCCCGAGTCCTGGGTAGAGACTCATGGGGACTCTTTCTTCCCTGCAGAAAGCTGTACCTCTATGCGGTTCACGATATGACCCTCATCCCTCTCTTAACGGCCCTGGGGATTTTCGACCACAAGTGGCCACCGTTTGCTGTTGATGTGACCATAGAACTCTACCAGCACCAGAAATCTAAGGAGTGGTTCGTGCAGCTCTATTACCACGGGGAGGTGAGACCTCATGGGGACTGGAGGGGCTAGGCCCCCTGGCCTAGCACCTGGTCTTCGTCCTCAGAGGGCCATTATCAGTCATCTGTGTACTCGGGGGTGGCCCAGGAGTGGGTCAGGCAGCCTGGGACCTGGGCCTCCTCCCCGTTCTGTTAGACTCCTTCTAGAAACAGGACCACCCTCCTCTCCTGAGTGTCCCTGCCAGGGTGTGACATTCTGACTGCTAGGCTTGTTTTAAAAATCAGTGGTAGTGTCTTTGGGAGGTGGCGTGTGCTGTTAGCGCTGTTGGTGCCTGTGTGGCTTCGGCAGGTTGCCGTCCAGAGCAGTCCGCAGGGATTAGACCTTCAGCCCGCCCAGCTCAGGGGCGTGACTTGACCATGGCTTCCTGGCCAGGTCACCAAACAGTCCTCGAGGGACTTCTGCAGGCAGGCATCATGCTCTTCTGGAAGCTGACTGAGGGGAAGGGCTTTGCTGGCTGTCACACATGTGTGGGCACAGGCCACACTGGCTCAGAGCCCCTCAGCCCTCTGGGCACAGTAGAAAATAACAGGATGGCCCTGCTGAGTGTGTGTCTTCCACAGAAGCAAGTGCCAAGAGGTTGTCCCGACCAGCTCTGTCCACTGGACAAGTTCTTGAACTCCATGTCGGTTTATATCCTGACCCCAGAAAAATACCACACACTCTGCTCTCAAGCACAGGTAACAGAACTCAGAAATGGAGAGTGACTGATTTGCACAAGGGGACGTGTTGATTTCTGAATAAAATGCTTTTCTTCACTGGCTCTGGCTGTTGCATTTGGTAAAGGCAGGAACGAGAGTCATGTCCTTCAACATAGGTAGGAGTGCGTCCTGCCTGCGGGTGTCCGAGGGTTTCTTCTGTAAAGAAAAGGGGTGTGATGTCGAGACCAAGGGGCCGTTTCCCGTGTTGTGGCTTGACTTCCATGTCCAGAAACGTCTGCCTGTGACACAGGACATCTGTGGACATTACGACGCCGTGGCATTGTGTTGATTTTGGACTTTAGTTCTTTATTCCTGTCTTCATCTTACAAACACGTATGGAGCAGCTGCTAAGTAGTAGTCGTCGTAAAGGTGAAAAGGTTCTGCCCTCAGGTCGTTCCAGTCCAGGGGGAGAGGCAGAAAGTCCATCGGTGATGACATCGCAGTGTGCTCCAGTCTGTGGTAGGGTGTATCGGGGCGATTCGGGCACAAGAAAGAAGGCCCGAGCCCCAGCTGGCAGAGAAAGGTGAGTCGGGGTTAAGCGGAGAGGTGGGGAGGAAAGGGTGTTGTGTGGAGGTAAAAGGTCGGCTTGGAGGTCAAGGGGCAGAGCTGGGCGGTGGAAGCCCAGCAGGACGATGCAGGAAGGGCTTGGCTTCAAGTGGCTGCAGCTCCAGGCGGGAATGTAGGGCTTGGCAGCGGTGGCTGGGCCACTGTCAACCTAAATGCACCACCTTTAACTGGGCCCCCAAGAGTACCTGGTGAGCCCCCTCTTTCCTCCTCAGTTTTCTCAGTCTTCCCCAGGATCTCAAACCAATCCCCTTACCTCTCAGAGAAAATGGCAATCCCGAAAACCTCTCCGCCTCCTACCATCTTGATGTTGACCGCTCCCGCCCAGATCGACTTCTCTAGCTCAGGTTTCTCTTCGGAGCTTCACACACTCCTGTCCCCTTGGATGTCCCATAGACCCAAAATTTGCTAGGTCAAAACCAAGGCCCTCTCCCCTCCTGGACCTGCCGCTCCCACGGGCTTCCGCATCTGCATAGGCGACGCCGCCCCATCCGCTCCGTCCCTGCCGCTCCCCTCACGTTCTCTGATTAGCTCACGCTGATGCTCAGTCTAACCTGCTAAGTCCTATCAGTCCCCCCGCTTAGTTCTTGAGTCTGTCGCCATCTCTTTCATTCCCGATCTTCAATATCCCCTGCGCATCCTCACTCTGATGGTTACTGTATTATTTCACTAGGAGTGGAAAAGCAATCAGAAGAGAACGTCCCCCCCCCCGCCCCCCAATCTGCTACCCCAGCTGCGTTGGTGCCCATAAGGCCTTTCCTTCCCGTTACTAAGAATGAACCATCCCTACTCCGACCCAAGGCCAACCCTCCAGCTCTGCGTGGACGCCCACGATGATCTCTTTTCTGTTAATTTTCTCTTCCTGCCCGTTATTCCCATCAGCATAAGAACGTGCTGTAAAATCATGTCTTAAAATTTTCCCTCATCTTCGAGTTACTGTGCTACTTTTCTTCTCCCCTTTACAACAAAACTTCCTAAAAGAGCTGTTTGTACTTGCCACCCCCGATTCGTCCCACGTTCCCGACTCCACCATGATCGGGCCCTCAGCCCTGGCTCTCCGTGGAAACGGCTCCCGTCAAAATCATCGGCGACCTCTGAGTGCTCAGTTCAACGGCCGGTTTCCAGTCTTCTCACTCAGCTTCTCATCTGCAGCCTCGGAAGTTTTTTTTTTTTTTTTTTTTTTTTTTTTTTTTTTCCATTTGGCCTTCGTGACAGCTACCCTTGATTTTCCTCGTTTCTCAGCTTCTCGGTTTGGGCCGATTCTGCCTTTCTCCACTCTCTCAGCGTGGGAGTCCTCAGGGCTCCATCCTTGTACCTTCTCTCCTGCTCTCCCGCATCTGCTGTTTAAGCCATTTGACCTGTAGTCACGGTGGCCCTGGCAAACCAATACACCTTGTCCTGTCCTTCCTCCCAAGGGTTTTATCAGCGCTTGATAGTTAGTACACACCTGTGAATTTATCTCTTTAGCCCCCTCACCAGAATGGAAGCTCCACGAAGACGGGCTTCACCTCGTTCCCTGCTGTGCCCCCCACACCGAGAAGAGGGAGTAGCTCACGCTGCTGTTCAGACATCGGTCCAATGGATGGACACATCCCCTCTGCCACTGCCCCCCTGGGCCCACGGTCACCCTCCCAGGTTACTGAGTGGCCTCCTGGAGTCACCGTTTCTTGCCTTCTGTTACCCTTTGAGCCCTGCCCCTGCTGGCTCACGCCCCTCACCACCCCCTCACACATCTGCTCCGGCCACGGTGAACTGCGTTCCGTTCTGTCCTGGTCCCCCGACCACTGATGCCTTTGGCCCGTCTAGTCCCTGCACGTCTTGACACCCCCCAAGTTTCTGTCTGTCCCTCAGTAGGGGGCTGTCCGTCTTGTACATTATTGTGGTCCTAGCACCAAGCACAAGACTCGGCACAAGGTGGACTTCGGCAAAGAGTCATGGAATGGACTCTGCACGCTCCCTACAGAGCGGCTCCTGCACGCGTCCCTGCTCACCACCAGGGGGAGCAGGGGGACGGAGAACCACAGGGCGAGCTCTGGGTTCAGATTCTGACGCTGCTATGTGTTTCTCTGTGCCCCTCGGACAGGTGTGTCTGAGCCCGTTTTTCTTCTCACGTGAAATGGAGATGATTATACCTGTTCATTGGGGTTGCTGAGAGAAAGGAGTAACCGTAAGGGCTTCCGAATGCCCTTTTTCCCCTCTTTCTTCCACGCTAGCTTCTTAGCGGTGACAGGTTTCCTCAGCTGGTTTGGGGGCACCGGGACCTGGCATGCTGACCCGTTCGTACCTGTCGTAAGAAACTCGGGTCTTCGCAAGTGGTACCTGGCACCCCTTCTCTGCCGGAACCGAGTGGGGCACAGCCCAGCTGCCTGCACAGGAGGCTGGGAGGGCTTTAGAGCAGCTGCTTTGTTTGCCACATGCCAGGGAAGCATCGGGCTTCAGCGCTGGTGCTAGGGCCACAGTTCGCTGTGTGCCCTGGGCGACTGGGGAAAGTCTGGGTCCCTTTGGCTGGTTGGGAATTCTCTGGGGAGAGGGCTGGGCGGTCTGTTCAGACTCTGCCCTCTAGTGGCCAAGGGAACCGGCCATGCAGTCCTGATCCTCCCTGTCCACCCTGCCAGCCTCCAGGAACCCAGTCCCCGCCTGAGGGAGGTGGAGAGGGAGCTGAAAAACCCTTTTCCCGATAAAAAGGCGGGTCTTCTCAGGACTCCTCTCTCTCCACTGGCTTTTGAAATGCACGCTTCCCCGAAGGCGGAGGTGGCGTGGCCCACAATCTCCACTTCTGAAGCAAAGGTCCAAACTAATGTCTGAGAACTTGAGAGAGCACCGGTCTTGGAGTCACGTGCTGTGGGTTCAAATCCTCCCTCTTTACGTGCTACCTGTGTGACTCTGGGCGAGTCCTGTCACTTCCTGTTAGCGAGCCTGTACGCCTGTCACAGAATTACCCCGGGATCACCTGGATCAGATGCTTCAAGCAGCACTTTGTCCTATGAAAAGTGCTGTTCAAACCTAAGGCGTCACTCGTGCTATCGCCAGAAACGCCTCCCCGGGCAGCTTCTGCGTGTTCCTCGCCCGGCGGCGCCCAGCCGGGAACGGTGTGCCGCGCGTGGTACCATCCCGGTGCCTGTCGCAGGGGTGCAAGATGGTGAAGGCAGCACCCGCCCTGGAGTAAGGAGCCCGGGTCTGAATTCCAGCGTTGCCCCCTCGGGCCCTGTGACCGGGCACTGGCTGAGCACTGCGGACTCTTCGCCCCGCACTGAGGAGCGGGTGCTCCCTGCAGGTGGGGCTGCTCCCTGCAGGAGGGAGGGGGCGGGTGGCCGCGGGCCCGGAGCATGCCCACTGCGCATGTGCAAGCGGCTTCGTGCACTTGGACCTTCAGGGAACTAGAACTCAGCCCGCCACGGTTCGCCCAGAAGCTCGCGTCGTCCTCGTGGCGCAGAGGCTTTCGGAGAAGGCGCACCGGCCAGGGAAGGGGCCGGAGCTCTCGGCCAGCGGCGTCGGGCTGTTGGCACCGGTTGGAGAGCAGGGCCCTTTTCGCCGAGGCGGGCTCTCCACGCAGCCAGATCTGGACTCAGGAGAGATTAAGAGTCTCAAAGGTAAAGGAAGGATGTAAGGAAATGTCCTGCGCTGCATTCATCAGAGAATTAATTTGGAAGGAAATAGAGTGTGAACCAGCCGCGAGGCTTTCAGCGCCAGGCCCCCGCGGCCGAGAAGCCCAGCCAGCGCCTCCGGGGCTCGCCAAGGCCAAGGCCCAGCCGGGAGCCGCCTCCTGAAGAGCCAGCTGATGCCCGGACCACAGATTGCTGAGCCCGGAGGAACTGGTTGAGTGTGTAATTAAGGGGAGGGCTGTATAACACTTGAAGTAGAACTTGATGGGGTCAAACCAGCAGGGCTTCTGGGAGGTGAAACAGCCGTCTCTGGAGCTGTTAGTAGCTGAAGCCAACGTTAGACACAGCTCACCTGGGCCTCGTGGAGAGCGGATGGAGGAGATCGGGAGGGGGAAAGGTCGAAAGAGTGATTGCTCCCTAGACTGAAGTGTCCCCAAATGCTTACTTCCTAGCGGTCCAGTTCTACGGGTGCGGTAGCATTAAGGAGCAATGGGATTGATCCCCGGAAACTGACGATCACAGAGGCTGCGACCTGGCCAAGATGATGTGGCAAGACAGAGACGTAATGGGTTCTGAGTCCTGACCTTGCCGTACACACCCACGGCGATGACCGGGAGGGACCTGCTCAGAGTGTAAAGGGGGTGGGCATCCTTTGGTCTCATGTGGGGATCGGGAACACAAGTGACTCAGTGGTATATTTGTAAACAAGACGGGCATACGTAGGCTGGATAGTGAAGCAGCATTTATAACTGATTGGATTCCTACAGCCCAAACCCCTAGCTTTCCCTGGTACACTAGGCCCTGGGCGAGGCCCCGCCCACCTCTCCAACCACATCGGACACACCCCCTCTCGCTCTCCCCACAGACTGTGTTGGCTTCTTGTCCTTCAGACCTCA